GGTGATGGCACAGTGACTCTAGTTAATCACTGTGTGAAATTGTAAAGGCCTGTTGGCCACCAAACCAGAATATTTTCTCAGTGAAGCCTGCCCTGTCCACACCATTAATATGGCAACCTACCCTTTCCCCGCCCTGCAAACTCCTACCTACTTTGCCTTACATTTTTCTACAACTCAGGTTATATCCTAACAGATTATATAATTTGCATATGTATCATGCTTTATGATTATTGTCAGTTTCCCCCACTAAATTAATCTATACAATGGCTGCATAAATATTTACCGAATTAATGAAGAAAAATAAATGCTCAAAACTTTGGTCCCATAAAAGTTTCTTTTATAGGCTTTCTGAAGATGTCCATCATCCCAACAGTGCTTGCCTCTGCCTGCACATTTCCCTAAGACAGAAAAGAAGAATGGGGGAGACAGCTGAGACTTCTGCTCCTCCACCACCACTGCCTCCCTCCAGTCCTGACCCACTTCCATGTGCCGAAGCCATTGTCTGCTATTACCCTTACCACTCTGTTATTTATTCCCTTAATTAAAAAGTTAAAGCGACAAGGACAGAAGTCCCTCTTGTGACAGTGTTCTCTAATCACCTGTGAAGCAGAAAAAATGTTGCAGCCTAACTGTGTTCAGTCCTCACTGGACTCCCCGCATCTATATCTCCCTTCAGTCTACTCTCCACACATCAGCCAGAGTGCTCCTCTGAAACATAGGTCAGATCACATCACTTCTCACTTCAAATGGCCCCTATTTCTCTCAAAGCAAAAACTAAAGTCTTCACAATTGTTTGCAAGACCCTGTATCATCTGGCCTCTGTTCCCTCTCAAATCTCTTTTCCAGATACTATCCGCACCCCCTCACTCCACTCCAACCTCCTCACTGCTTCTCAAACATGCTAGTGTGCTCTCAGCCCAGGGCCTTTGCACCAACTATTTCTTTGGACTTGAATGCTCTCCTCTCAACAAATATCCACATGGCTCACATCATCACATCCTTCAAAATTTTGCTCAAGTGCTAACTCATCAGAGAGGCCTTCCCTAACCTCCTACTGAATACCACAGCCTTGCTCCTGGCAGTTCCCACCATATGCTCGCTTACCCTGCTCCATCGTATTCTTACTTATCACACATAATTTACTTAGAGCACGTAACTTAGTATGTTTATTGTCTATTACTATTATTATTTAGAGATGGGGTCTTACTCTGTCAACCAGGCTGGAGTGCAGTGGTGCAATCATAGCTCACTGCAGCCTTGAACTCCTGGCCTCAATCCATCCTCCTGCTTTAGGCTTCAAGTAGCTAAGACTACAGTCACAAGCCTAACATCTAAAGAGAGAGAGAAAGAAACTTCATCTTCAGGAGAGCAGGGAATGTTTGTAATTTATCTTCATTTTTTCATCCCTAAGACCTGAAATATTACCTAGCACATAATGAATGCTCAACTAATACTTGTTAAATGAATAAAGAGTGGTTAAAACAATGGATTTTGGTTACACAGTTCTGGATTTTGATCCCAGCTCTACTGTAATCTTTGGTAAATTTTGAAAGTTATCTGAAGCCCAATTTCTTCATCTGTGAGACAAGGTTAACAATGCCCAACTCAGAGAGTGCAATGCCTTGTATATCAAGTAAGTGGAGGCCATTATTATGCAATATGGATCTTCTGGAAGCAGAAAAGGCAGGCAAATGTGCAGGTATACATGTTGGGGTGGATTTTTGTTATGTTGGGAGATAGAAAATGGAGAGAGAATATACTAAGTTCCCTGCACCTCTAAGTATGTACCTGTAAAATCAACATGAATTAAGGATAAAAATGAATATAATGTAACTGAAGTGATCTCCTACATAGTTGATCTGATGAATAATGCAGGTAACAGTAATTAAAGCAGCTGACCAGTTTGATGGTTTGAAGACAAAAGAGTTGCTTTATGGACTTCATAAAATACAGACAGTACACACTATAAAGTGTTTTTCTTTTAAACACTTCAGAATCAATACCTCTATAGTATCTCGAGGTTATTCAGGTTGTCTCCATTTCATGCATTCTAGAATGTCATTATTGACTTTGCACTTGACATTCTTCCCTGTGTCTGTTAGACTGGCCTTGGCAGCAAAGAAAGGCCATATGGTGCCCATCCATATGGATGGGCTGGCTAGATTTTAGAATCTTATTCCCTACTGATGTTCCTGTTGTGTGAACAGAATAACTTCTATTTAAGAGTAGAACATGTGGGATTCCAGCCCTGCATATTTATCAGTTAGAAAACTCCTCAATTGTGAGGAGCAGAGACCTGAAAACAGGGCTTAAACACACTAGATGTGGTACGGGGGCTCCGCGACCTGATCGTAAACTTTCCAACCCTCTTCTCTTCTCAACTCAATCCATCTTTGAGTTGTGACTTCTTTCCTCAAGGTGGCCTCATACATACAAAGTGGCTACTAGAACTCCAGACAGCATTTTCTCATTCCTGGTAGAAAGAAGGGAAAAGGCAAGGAACAAAAGGAGCATGTCAGCTGAGTCACTGCCTGTTTTTAAAGATCGTTACCAGAAGACACACCCAATAACTTCTGTTTGCATCTCATTGGCTAGGATTTAGTCATTTGTACCTCTCATCTTCCAGGAAGGCTGAGAAATCTAGTATATTTTAGGTAAGCAAAATACTTCAATAAAATCTATACAAGAAAATAAAGGGGATAGTCGATATTGAGTAGGTATCTAGCAGTCTCTTCTCCAGATAAATAATTTCTGCAATAGAGGAATAAAAAAAATTATGAACTATTGTCATAGCTCGCTAATGACTTTCTAGCTAGCTTTGCAGAAACCTAGAAATAAAATCTTTCTATTAATTCTCCAAGTGGTGGTTTAGAGAAATTACTTTCTAATAAAGAAATATTCTTTTTTAGAAGAAGATTTGCTGTCTACCATTCATACTCCATTTCAGCTTTTGCTGAACAGGGCTCTATTTGGCTAACTTATAGGTAATCTCAATTGTTCCTCACTAGGCTGGGTGCGGTGGCTTACGCCTGTAATCCCAGCACTTTGGGAGGCCAAGGTGGGCAGATCACCTGAGGTCAGGAGTTTGAACCAGCCTGGCCAACATGGTGAAATCCCCATCTCTGCTAAAATACAAAAAATTAGCCAGGAGTGGCGGTGTGCACCTGTAGTCCCAGGTACTCGGGAGGCTGAGGCAGGAGAATCACTTGAACCCAGAAGGCAGAAGTTGTCGTGAGCAAAGACTGTGCCACTGCACTCCAGCCTGGGTGACAGAGCAAGTGTCAGTCTAAAACAATAAATAAATAATTTTTCTCACTAAGCTCTGTAGAAGGAAATACCTCTTAGAATTTCGTCATTAGAATCATCATTGCTGCTGCAATGCTTCAGAATCAAAAGCCCCTTGTGTGACCAAGAAGCTTGCCTGCCTCTTACCCCTACACAATACATGCTGTAGAATTCATATTAGGGGAGTCATATTTGTTTTGCATGTAGTAAGCTCTCTAAGAATACTTTAAGAACTCACTGGTTCTTTCAGATCACCAGGGAACAATTTCAGTAATTTCACCCTAGCTAACAACTTCTCTTTCAAGGACTAATTTACTAAATGGTCCCTCTGTTGCCTGAAAGAGTTACACAGTTTCACAAAGTGTCTGACTTACTTGCATGCAGTAGCCCATGTACTAAGAAGATCTGGCTTCAAAAACACATTATAGAATTCCTGTTGTTGCTAGTTATTTTCTAATACTACTTGAGGAATGGGAAAGTATGCAAGTCAACAATTTGTTCAAAAGACCAAGTGCACAGCCACTTGGGACAAAGCAATGAAAAACACAAATTCACGTACACGCACTCCACATTTTTCCTCTCTTCCAAGTTCAATGCTTTCCTTTTGTTCTCTAAGCAAAATAGAGCCCACACCCACACTGAGAAAGATAAGCCTTCGATTTTTGGTCTTTCTTTCCTCCTTCATGGAGATGCCTCTATGGGGCTTTCAACTTGTCAGATATAATCTATTCTGACCACACAGTCTGGAGAGGATGACAGCCACAGAATCTGTGGTGTCAGATGAAAATGGCCTAGAATGCAAGTGCAAAGCATCACGGAGGTGATGAACATGAGGTTCTCCCTCTCTGAGAAGCAATGAACAAGATCCGGACCTGGAAGAGCAGTTGCAACAAATGACAGGGGCCCCTGAGGACAGAGTGTAGCCCAGAGCCTCAGCTGGTCAAGTGGACAATTCCCAAAGGCTGCAAGCCCTCACATCTCTGTTGTCACTCCCACTGAGACATTTTGGAAAGAAGGCCAAATCGCCCTTCATCAGGATATGCTGATTCAGACAGACAGCTAAGCCGAGGTAGCTTTGGTGAACACACTCTATGGGATGAAATGAGTTCCCCTGTGGTCTGCTGCCCTGTTGCTGTTAAACTGAAACTAGAGAGGCTCAGAGCTGCTAAGAGATTGTCACATTGCTGTGGGAAGAATTTACACAATTGGCGCCCTCAGGCAAGGAGTGCTGAATCTGTCAGTATTCAAGACTGTGTAATTTTTTCACCTATTTCTTTATTCCAGTCTATGTGGAGCACAGCCTTTTCTCTGCACTTTCAGAGTGAGCATCTACAGCACTGCCAGTTCTGAGGAAGGATAAAGATTGGCAACCTGAAGTGTAGGCTCACGGGCTGGCCCCAGAGGCAAAACTGGGAAGAAGGCAAACTGTCAGCAGGGTGATCATGTGAGTTACATACCTTTGCCACAGATCATTGGATCAGAAGAACATCTGACTCAAATGCAACCAATTCATTAGCTGACTGGAGATGCATCTGATTCACTCTCTCTTGAGAATTTAATATAAAAGCTATACCAATTGCAGCTAGTCAGATAGTGCTGGACACTAGATCTCTAAAGCCACAGAGATGAAGCACCATTTGGCACCACCACAACTCAAAATCACATGCAATCCAGAGTCATGAAGGAGCAGAAACTAAGAGATTTTGAAAGAAGCTGGTCTTTCGGCTTTCGGCTCGGAGGAGGCCAAGGTGCAACCTTCTTCGGTCGTCCCGAATCCGGGTTCATCCAACACCAGCCGCCTCCACCATGCTGCCGAAGTTCGACCCCAATGAGATCAAAGTCGTATACCTGAGGTGCACTGGGGGTGAAGTCGGTGCCACTTCTGCGCTTGCCCCCAAGATCGGCCCCCTGGGTCTGTTTCCAAAAAAGGTTGGTAATGACATTGCCAAGGCAACGGGTGACTGGAAGGGCCTGAGGATTACAGTGAAACTGACCATTCAGAACAGACAGGCCCAGATTGAGGTGGTGCCTTCTGCCTCTGCCCTGATCATCAAAGCCCTTAAGGAACCACCAAGAGATAGAAAGAAACAGAAAAACATTAAACACAGCGGGAATATCACTTTCGATGAGATTGTCAACATTGCTCGACAGATGCGGCACCGATCTTTAGCCAGAGAACTCTCTGGAACCATTAAAGAGATCCTGGGGACTGCCCAGTCTGTGGGCTGTAATGTTGATGGCCGCCACCCTCACGACATCATAGATGACATCAACAGTGGTGCT